AAAAAAAACAACAACAGAGAAACGAAACATTTTTCGTTGCAAAAAAACGATTATCACTAGAGCATGGTTACTAAGAGAAAAATGTTTCCCCCCATCTCTCTCTCTTTCTCCTTGGCTCCTTCGCTAACAACTCATCTTCATAGTATGAAAGAAAGAAAGAATGGTTGAATAGATGGATGGATAGATGGATAGGTGATGTGAAAGTTATTCGTTAATATAAGAGGATAAAGTGTAATTTAATGGAGACATTTCTCAAAAAAAAGCAAAAAAAACGAAAAAACAGATTTCACAATTTTCAATTCGTCAACATTAGTTAACTGAACTATTTTTTATCGTTTTCTAGTTTTGATGATAAATGTTTATTCAATTATCAATACATGAGATCTTTTCATTCGAGACAAGTTTCACCTCCTTTCTCTGTCTCTGTCTCTGTCTCTCTTTCTAGTAAAGAAAAAAAAGGAGAAAAAAAGAGAGAAAATGTTGTACAGAAGAGAAGAGATAATTATAATGTTTCACCCATTATTTGAATGTTATTACTATAATTTAGTGTTATGAACGAGAACTTAAATGGGGATAACTAATTTATTGTTGAATAGGAAATTATAAAGTTGGTGCCCCTTCGAGTCAAATAAATTGGTGAAGCCTAGTAGGCCCTTGTGAAGAGAAACATGTCACAACTACTGGGGCTAGAATAGATGTTTTATGCAATCAGTTGGAGTTTGCCCAACCTCGTACATTCCATACACCACTTTTATGAATTTTTTTTTGACGTTCTGAAATCTAGGAGTAATTGTACTGTGATTCTTCGTGGGTTTCGTAATCAGTTTATGGGTATCGGTCGAGAGATTGATGAACCCGATCTCTACCACTCGGGTTACTGTTTACGTTAGTTCATGGGACTGAGTTCCACTATCCAGGAGGCACGACGAGGACGTGTGAATCAGGTTGCTTTGTAAAAATGTGAAAATCATACATTGAATACTTCATTTGTAAATCTTCTGTCAGTTGTCCTTTACATTCTTCATGATTCTTCCAATTCTCAATTTCTTTTTGTTTTCTTCGGTTCAATCTCTCTTTGATTGACATTCCACTTCTGATTGATGTCATATACTACTTATGTTTGTTGATATGAGTAGCATACATCATACTCGTCCCTCCTTTGAAATGGTCACTCTTGCAGTTGTTCTACTCACCATTCAACTTTTTTTGTTACCATAATCTGTGCCGCTTCCCCCGTCACAATGTTGAGTCCACTGTCGCTATGACATCCTTAGCAATGTTGACTTGTCAGGTCCTCTGCATTCAATTTGTGTCGACATAAGTAGCATTCACCAAAATAGAAATATTTAACTATAATTTAAGTAATGGATAGATAATACTCACTCACTTACACCTGTTACCCTTGTGGAGAATAATAGGTTATCTATCAGCATTCTCCATCCAACTATGTCCTTGACAATCCTTTCCACTTGTTTCCAGTTACTATTCATCCTTTTCATATCTGCCTCCTATTCTCGATACAGTGTGTTCTTCAGTCTTCCACTTTTTCGTTTTCCTTCACGATTCCAAGTTAACACTTGTTTCATGATGCAGTTTGATGATTTCTGTGATGTATGCCCCATCCACCTCGAATGTCTTTACCTAATTTCTTCTTCAGCTGGAAATAGGTTTATTATGTCTCACAGTAAATTTTTACTAATGGTATTCGGTCAACGACCATGGGGTATCTTGTGTAGACGATTGTTTACTGAATACTTGTATCTTTTTTAACGATGGCAGGTAGGTAATTGTTATTTACAAATAAATCTGGAAATAATTTTGTAAAGTAAGTTCATCTATCCATTCTATTAAATAAGTGTATGGGTATTTTTCCATTAGCCTCCAATTACCCTGGTATGGCCGAGAGTTGGGAGAGTTTTCTCTCTCGCTCGGAATGCTACGCGTATGTAAACTCTCCTAGGGAAAACCTACTCACTGCATTCTCACACAACGTATGTTGTTTACGAAATTGAGAGGATGAAAAGCGAATGTTAGGCGCTTTGTTCGGGTTGTTGGACACGGAGGATACACCTAGGGGAGTTGTAAAACCCTGACTCCAAATCAATCATGAATATGGGTTCCAGGATCCTAAGGAAACAAATGGCATATGAACCAATTATTAATCACCGGCTACCATGGGACTACATCTCCTGACGTTGTTCCACTGCCCTGTGGATCAGACCTTTAGGTCAAAGGCTCCGGATGTGGTCCCCTAAGGAAACCACCCGCTTCGGTCTGGGCACCTCGACAATAGTATCATAGCCCACACAAATCAAGTGACTTGTGCAGCTCATATGTAATCGGTGCCCCTTTGTATCAATATGTATGTGTTCAAATAAATAAGTAAATAATAAATTTTCCCGTTCACTTAATGGTTAAATGCTGTAAATAAAAATATGAGTGTAATTTTTATTGGATATTTCATTTCAACACACTTTGATTGATTTAGATCTGTCGATTATGAATATCAGTATTAGAATATTCCATCATACCGGATGAAAAACACACAGATACAATGAATGTTAGAGATGTAAATAAAATATTCTATAGAAATTATACCAAAGAACACATTGTGTTAGGAATTGGAAGCAGACATGGAAGGGATGAATAGCAAATGGAAAGAAGTGGAAAAGATTATCGAGGACAGAGTGGGAAGAAATGCGCTGTTAGGCGTCTTATGCTCATCGACGAGGAGTGGCAGGCGTAAGTAAGTAAGTAAGTAAGTAAGTAAGTAAGTAAGTAAGTAAGTAAGTAAGTAAGTAAGTAAGTAAGTAAGTAAGTAAGTAGTGTAAGTAAGTAAGTAAGTAAGTGTGGAAGTAAGTAAGTAAGTAAGTAAGTAAGTAAGTAAGTAAGTAAGTAAGTAAGTAAGTAAGTAAGTAAGTAAGTAAGTAAGTAAGTAAGTAAGTAAGTAAGTAAGTAAGTAAGTAAGTAAGTAAGTAAGTAAGTAAGTAAGTAAGTAAGTAAGTAAGTAAGTAAGTAAGTAAGTAAGTAAGTAAGTAAGTAAGTAAGTAAGTAAGTAAGTAAGTAAGTAAGTAAGTAAGTAAGTAAGTAAGTAAGTAAGTAAGTAAGTAAGTAAGTAAGTAAGTAAGTAAGTAAGTAAGTAAGTAAGTAAGTAAGTAAGTAAGTAAGTAAGTAAGTAAGTAAGTAAGTAAGTAAGTAAGTAAGTAAGTAAGTAAGTAAGTAAGTAAGTAAGTAAGTAAGTAAGTAAGTAAGTAAGTAAGTAAGTAAGTAAGTAAGTAAGTAAGTAAGTAAGTAAGTAAGTAAGTAAGTAAGTAAGTAAGTAAGTAAGTAAGTAAGTAAGTAAGTAAGTAAGTAAGTAAGTAAGTAAGTAAGTAAGTGTGGAAGTAAGTAAGTAAGTAAGTAAGTAAGTAAGTAAGTAATAAGTAAGTAAGTGTGGAAGTAAGTAAGTAAGTAAGTAAGTAAGTAAGTAAGTAAGTGAGTAAGTAAGTAAGTAAGTAAGTAATAAGTAAGTAAGTGTGGAAGTAAGTAAGTAAGTAAGTAAGTAAGTAAGTGTGGAAGTAAGTAAGTAAGTAAGTAAGTAAGTAAGTGTGGAAGTAAGTAAGTAAGTAAGTAAGTAAGTAAGTAAATAAGTAAGTGTGGAAGTAAGTAAGTAAGTAAGTAAGTGTGGAAGTAAGTAAGTAAGTAAGTAAGTAAGTAAGTAAGTGAGTAAGTAAGTAAGTAAGTAAGTAAGTAAGTAAGTAAGTGTGGAAGTAAGTAAGTAAGTGTGGAAGTAAGTAAGTAAGTAAGTGTGGAAGTAAGTAAGTAAGTAAGTAAGTAAGTAAGTAAGTAAGTAAGTAAGTAAGTAAGTAAGTAAGTAAGTAAGTAAGTAAGTAAGTAAGTAAGTAAGTAAGTAAGTAAGTAAGTAAGTAAGTAAGTAAGTAAGTAAGTAAGTAAGTAAGTAAGTGTGGAAGTAAGTAAGTAAGTAAGTAAGTAAGTAAGTGTGGAAGTAAGTAAGTAAGTAAGTAAGTAAGTAAGTAAGTAAGTAAGTAAGTAAGTAAGTGAGTAAGTAAGTAAGTAAGTAAGTAAGTAAGTAAGTAAGTGTGGAAGTAAGTAAGTAAGTAAGTAAGTAAGTAAGTAAGTAAGTAAGTAAGTAAGTAAGTAAGTAAGTAAGTAAGTAAGTGTGGAAGTAAGTAAGTAAGTAAGTAAGTGTGGAAGTAAGTAAGTAAGTAAGTAAGTAAGTAAGTAAGTAAGTAAGTAAGTAAGTAAGTGTGGAAGTAAGTAAGTAAGTAAGTAAGTAAGTAAGTAAGTAAGTAAGTAAGTGAGTAAGTAAGTAAGTAAGTAAGTAAGTAAGTAAGTAAGTGTGGAAGTAAGTAAGTAAGTAAATAAGTAAGTAAGTAAGTGAGTAAGTAAGTAAGTAAGTAAGTAAGTAAGTGTGGAAGTAAGTAAGTAAGTAAGTGTAGAAGTAAGTAAGTAAGTAAGTAAGTAAGTAAGTGTGGAAGTAAGTAAGTAAGTGTGGAAGTAAGTAAGTAAGTAAGTAAGTAAGTGTAGAAGTAAGTAAGTAAGTAAGTAAGTAAGTAAGTGTGGAAGTAAGTAAGTAAGTAAGTGTAGAAGTAAGTAAGTAAGTAAGTAAGTAAGTAAGTGTGGAAGTAAGTAAGTAAGTGTGGAAGTAAGTAAGTAAGTAAGTAAGTGTAGAAGTAAGTAAGTAAGTAAGTAAGTAAGTAAGTAAGTGTGGAAGTAAGTAAGTAAGTAAGTAAGTGTGGAAGTAAGTAAGTAAGTAAGTAAGTAAGTAAGTGAGTAAGTAAGTGAGTAAGTGAGTAAGTAAGTAAGTAAGTAAGTCAATTGGATGAATAACTTCAAACCTATTTGAAGTAATCCTAGATCAACCTATTCTTATGAATACATTGTTGCTAATTATAATCTATTTAAGTTATTTCTTTTATATTTTTATTCATATCCACTATCATACTTATCATGTTATTATGAAACAGTAGAGGAAGTAGAATGCTGCATTAATTAATTCAATGATTATCAAGGTAACAATTGTATTCATTTGAACAATGTATGTATATACGAGTAATTATGCAATAGATTATGCATATGTACTATTACATCACATTAGTATTATATGGCTATTTAAATATGAAAGAGTAAACACAAATAACCGAATGACAGAAAGTAATTCTTTCTTCTTATAGTATTCACAATGTAGGCGAAAACATAAACGGGGGGGGGAAGGAAAACTTATGTATTTTAATGATAAAATTACATTACAATCTAAAATATATTGAATACTTCATTTAAAAATTTCCATTATATGGATTTCATATTCTGTATGGTTCTTCCTATTGACAATTCCTTTCTATTTCCCTTTCTATTGTCTTCACATTGATCTCCTTGGACTTCCGCTCTCAGATGCCTCATTTTCGATTGGTGTTATGTAATAATTATTTCAGTCGATATATGTAGCATACACATCATCATCATCATCATCATCATCATCATCATCATCATCATCATCATCATCATCATCATCATCATCATCATCATCATCATCATCATCATCATCATCATCATCATCATCATCATCATCATCATCATCATCATCATCATCATCATCATCATCATCATCATCATCATCATCATCATCATCATCATCATCATCATCATCATCATCATCATCATCATCATCATCATCATCATCATCATCATCATCATCATCATCATCATCATCATCATCATCATCATCATCATCATCATCATCATCATCATCATCATCATCATCATCATCATCATCATCATCATCATCATCATCATCATCATCATCATCATCATCATCATCATCATCATCATCATCATCATCATCATCATCATCATCATCATCATCATCATCATCATCATCATCATCATCATCATCATCATCATCATCATCATCATCATCATCATCATCATCATCATCATCATCATCATCATCATCATCATCATCATCATCATCATCATCATCATCATCATCATCATCATCATCATCATCATCATCATCATCATCATCATCATCATCATCATCATCATCATCATCATCATCATCATCATCATCATCATCATCATCATCATCATCATCATCATCATCATCATCATCATCATCATCATCATCATCATCATCATCATCATCATCATCATCATCATCATCATCATCATCATCATCATCATCATCATCATCATCATCATCATCATCATCATCATCATCATCATCATCATCATCATCATCATCATCATATTAGTGCAGTTATCATATGCCCGATGACAATTAGCTTTAAATTATCGTCTAGATTTTTGGTGTTACATCAATCATGTAATAACAGTGTGTTGTGTTGATTGTTGAACTTAAAAGTTTACATAATAGGTCAACTTTGGTTTGAAAACTGGTGAAAATCTGAAAAGTATTGGATCTCTGTTTCGTTCAACTATGGGACTATTTTCATTCGGTGTTTACAATCCAGGACCTTCTGACTTTCCAATGAGCATATTGGTATGAAGGAAAGAAAAGTCAATTTTCGATTGATTTACTCATTATGAGTTTAGTTCAAGATTACTTCCATTTTGATTCAATGGAATGATTACTCAATGTAGTATTTGTATTGATATTTTATTCTGTATAATATACGATATTCTTGTATTCCATTGACATGAACCATGCTCAGTATCTGATTTGTTATAACTTTAAGTATGTTCCATATATATGATTACATTCTAATTATTAATCAAAATGGGTGAACAATCAATATATAAATGATTGTATTTTCGATTAGGATCGTCGTCGTCGTCGTGTTTTGCGGTTAATAAATCTTCACTTATACTAGTCTTTGTGTTCTTACTTTCGCGTCGTGGGAATTGCAGAGGTCCCTCGTTCCGAGTATAGATGATAAGTGTTTCCGACATAACAATCAGCGATGATCAGATACAAAAAGTAGCATTAAAAGAGCCAAGACAATAAGCATTCAAATTGCAAGTTATAACACATCTGACTTTACACGACTAAGAGGAGACTCAATGATTTACATTTCTTGTTATATATTCAATAATCGAAACATTCGTGAAACTTCAAACTGGATAATTTTCACAACACCATTTCATAACAGTCGTCAACGATTCCCATACTAGGACGAGACGACTGTGCAGTGCTTCCAGGTTTTCAATGGTGGTCTAACGTTGATCCATTCAATTCAGTTATCTCCACAACTCTATCCTGATAATTATCATATGATCACTAGTGACTGGTTTCAAGATCAATTTCCTGGAGTTCTAATAAGAAGCCATGACCAGTGGAGTCTAATCCATGTCGTGAGTAAAGCAGTTATTCAGCGAAGACAATAGTGGACAGTCGCGTAATATCGTGGATTAGTTACAGTTAGACATTAGCATCTTTGGATGCCTGCTCAATAGTCTAGATTCCAAGTGTTCTTGCACAATATCAGAGGTCTTGGCTTCGATTCCCGCGTGCTAGATCGTGGATGCCCACTTCTGAGGAGTCCCATACTAGGACAAAACGGCTATCCAGTAATCCCATATTTTCCATGGTGGTCTCGTTTAAAACGAATTATCAATCCAACTATTAAATCATTTCAATAAATCAAAACAGGCAAGAAAATTTAATTATTTCTACAGAGATATTTGTCAGATACAAATTCTCACCCATGAATTTGCATGTTTTTTTCTATTATTTTAATTTCTTATTTGTAATAAATTGAAGAAATCATGTGTGGTCATAAAATGATGGTAAATTATTCTATGTTCAAACGATCTCTTCCAGATTTGAGGGTAAACATTTTCAGTTGATCGATGATTCTGTTGATAAATTAAAACTATAGGAATTAACTATTCGGTTGTTGAAATGAGGACTCATCATCGCATATTTATTAATGATTATATATTTTCAGAAGGGGTTTTGTGGAGAGTTTTAGAAATTTCGTTATTTGAATACATGAGCCGATTGAAGCTAGAACACCATGGAAAACTTGCAAGCATTGGACGGCCGTTTCGTCCCAGTATGGGACTCCTCAGCAGTGCACATCCACGATTCCGCACCCCGCGACATTCGAACCCAGGACCTATCAGTTTCCTGCGCGAGCACTTAACCATTAGACTACTGAGCCGGTATCCAACGGTGTTAATGTCTAAATTCAGCCAATCCACTAAGTTGCGCCACCGTATACCATTGTCTTCAGTGAGTTGATATCTCACAGGCGCTCACGCGCGAGACTGATAGGTCCTTGGTTCAAATGTCGCTGGAGGCAGGATTGTGGATGTGCACTGCTGAGGAGTCCCATACCGGGACGAAACAGCCGTCCAGTGCTTCCAGGTTTTCCATGGTGTTCTAGCTTCAACTGACTCATGATTTCAACTATTGGGATTATATGTTTGCTAGTTCCAACGGAAGTGTCATAGTAAATTACTCACAAGAAAAAGGAAGTGGTTTGCATGACCATTTTATACGATTGTAGTAACTAAATGCAGATCATTTAGAGTTAGGATTTAAGATTAGTCTTTAGGATTTAGTTGAAGGTTACGTTGAGGGATTATGGTTAGGGTTAGTTCATTGAAATAAGAAAAATGATCTGTTTCTATATAAAAACACCCTTAAAAGAAGGTTTTTGACCGTGTGATGTAAAATCGTGAGAATCATCCATGTACGATATTTATAGTTTATCTGATGTCTTATAAAAAAATGATTTGTGGACCTTGTGCAGACTACCGTAATGATGCTGTCTTTCGAATTAATATGTGTTGGAGGAAGAAGTCTGTTAGAATAGGATTTTCTTCGCTCGATCCAGATTGAGACTATGACAAACTATGACAATTGTTGCGAACTGGACAAGAAAAGCAACAGTAACACTGGCTACAGCCGGGTACTACAATATATACAGATGATTGGAGAGCGTACAGATGCCTATATAGACTTGGTTATTTGCATCATGTCGTTATTCACAAACGGCATTTTGTGGACCCAACAACCGGAGTGCACATAAACAATACTGAAGCTATGTAATCGAAGCTGAAAAAGTTTTGGTCATCTGGTCATGGCTCCCGAGGCCGATCATTATGAAGCCATATGGATGATTTCCTCTATCGTATGCATTACGATTTTAGAACATCTGACAAGTTTTTGAACCATGTAAAAGAAGTGCGGACACTTTAATTCTTTGATATTGTATTTTTACTCTATACTAACTGTTTTTTTGATTGGCTAATATTTCTCAAGGTAACTCAAGATTCATTCAAAGGTCGTCCATAAACTATAGTCTTGACGTTTTCCAAGAATTTTTCGACTATATCAGTGTCGTTGTTGTAAATCGAAAGTGCTCATGCACATCGGATATAGTAATAGTTACGATTATACTGTTGATAGTACATCTCTTCCACGCGTTTAAGAACTGATCATGACTTGAAAACAACTATGCATTGCAACGTAGCTGCTACCAGAGGTTATCGTGCGTTATGGTCACTTCACCGAGCATTCAAATGCTTTGATGAGGAAAGTTTTCGAATTTTATATCCCACCTATTTAAGATCACATTTAGAGTACCGTATCCAAGCAGCTAGCCCATGTCTGATAAAGGATACTAACTCACTTGAGCGTGTTCAGCGTGTGTGAACAAAATTAGTGAACGGTCTTTATAAACTCCCTTACGATGAGCGCTTAAAACGCCTAAACTTATTCCCCCTTGTCGTATCGTAGGACGAGAGGTGACCTAAAACCGGTATTTCGCATCTTTAATTATGATTTAGGTGTTAATATGTCTTATGTTTTGCTCCCTCCAGCACTAATAATCTCCGAGGTCTTAGCAAGAAGGTTCATAAACCGCGATCTAATAAACTTAAAGTGAGATCCCGCCTTTCTCATCGAGTAGTCAATGACTGGAATGCCTTACCCGAACAAGTGGTATCAGCCCCATCAGTGAATATTTTCAAATAAAAGCTAGACATTCACTAGAAGTCAATCTGTCAGGATTAACACAGGTTCCACCAACTACTATCCTTATTACTGAAGACTGAAGTCATTGTATGCGGTTCTGAATTATGTTAGTTAATGTAGATTATGCGGTTGGAATTAATCCATAATCATAATCATTGGTTAGAAAATTTCAGTGATATTGTTCACAATCTTCATCATGACACGAATGTATTCACTCTTATCTTCTTCTACACCTTCAATTCTATGATTCCTTCGTATAAACATTCTTTTCATTCGATCTTTTGTAATCATATAATGAATGCTTGATGTTTCTTGTTATCACTGCTACTAGATTATTTTGATTTCTCTATTTATTCATCTCATTGTGATGATTTAGTATAGAAATTCGGGTTATCATATATTTTTAGGATGCTCTATTTCGATCGTGACTGACTGATTCTCAGAAAATAATAATAATAAGCATCCTATTTCCTTGATATCATGAATTGATATAAGTTAGATAGCCACTGAATATCTGGGAGCACTGGAGAGCTATTTTTCCTGTCATGGTACTTATCAGCAGTGTGATTACATCATGAGCAAGCAGGAATCGAACCCAAGGCGTTTGATTTCGCTTAACCTCAGTGTCACTGGGTTGGAATCTAGTGGTGTTTAAGTCTAATTTGAACCAGTATACGATATTATGAGACTATTTTCCATTCTGGCCAGTAAGTACCCTCCTTAAAAATGACACTGTTGAACTTCAATGGTTACGGCTTTGTATTAGTGACTAGCTCCGAGAGGAAATTTCTACAGCTCTGCTGAGAAGCTGTGACAAGTGGAATTCAACTGAGTCGAGGAGTCTGAGGCAGTTACCCACTGAAGACAATGGATGATGGTCACTCAATTTCGTGGATTGATTCAAGTTAAACATTAATACTGTTGGGTGTTGGCTTAGTGGTCTGGAAGTTAAGTGTTGATTGAAATCATAAATTGATCAAGGCTGAACCAGCGCTGAAAATCTGGAAGCACTGGAATACCGGTTCGTCATAGTATGGAACTCCTCAAAAGTGCACATCCACGATCCCAGGTCAGGATCTTCGATCTGCATCCGACGGTTTTAGTGTCTAACTTCAACTAATCCGCGATACTGTGCGAACATCTTCCATTGTCTTCTCTGGATAACTGCCTCACGCTCGACAAGGTTTAGACTCCACTGGCCACAGCTTCTCACCAGAACTCCAAGAATTTTCTCCCAAATATATTTATTAGTGAACTCATGATAATTATCAGTATAGGGTTGTGAAGATTCATGATTTCAATCAAAAC